TTTCCTACTATCTGCAGTGTCTCATATTGCAAAAGTGTTGATAATGAAGCTGTTATGTTTTCTATTTTAGACTAAGAAACAAAGTGAAAAAAAAGAACTAGAGATTTTTTTTCCCAACTGGCAGGGTTAGGAGGGGGCAACATACAGATATATATATATACACACACATACACGCACAGACAAGCTTCCTATCCTTGATTCAGTGGATCCTTCACTGTTTATTCTCTGACACTACTTTCGGAAGGAAGTAATTGATTCCCTTCACTGAGGGATTTAAAGATGTAGGTGAAAAGGCCAATGGTCCTTGTGCTGTTGAAATATTTTACTAGGTTTGTACATGCCTCTTTGGTGCTTATATGTTCTTTTTAAAAAAAAAAAAAAAAAAAAAGAAACAAAAAAAAAGGGCAGAGCAGGGCTGGGCAGGGCAAAGCAGAGGAAAGGGCAGAAGAGGGATGAAGGAGGAAAGGAGAGGAGAGGAGAGGAGAGGAGAGGAGAGGAGAGGAGAGAACTGTTCTGATTCCATGATTCAGCCAGTTCTACACCCAGCACATCTTCAAAGTCATACAGGCAAAGCACATCCAGCTCTGTACACCAAAAGAACAGAAAAATTCTTGTGGAAACAGAAATGGAACCCGAATGGCCACTTGATAGTGATGCTTTTTCCCCCAGAGGACCATTCTCTCTCTTTTCCTCTCTGAGCCCTACTAGGAACAGCCATGATGCTGATGCCCCCAGTTTCTTCCTGCCCACACCTGAGGAGACCGCGGGGATGAGAAGAGCTTCTGGCCCCTGTGTGCACAGCTTGGATGAAGGGAACAGGGGTTCCCTTCCACCCCAACAGCAGCACGGCACTCACGGCTTGTTCAGAAGCAAAATAATTAAAAGAGACGTGCTTACCTGCCTTAATGAACGAAGGTGAACAGTGATGTGGAACAGCTACTCTTTTCCTCCTTGCAAGAGAAACCTAAATTCCTCCTGCAGAAGGGAAGGACAATGGAAAGAAGATTCAGGTACTGAAGTTTAAATTCAGTGTTTCTCTGCCCGACAGTCACTTCTCTGCCTGAAGGTCCTGTCACATCTACCATACGAGGGATATATTTTCTGTTGAAGGCAATTAGGTGCAAATGGATCTTCAGTGTTCTGGAGAGGTTTAAGACAAGCACATTGACATGCTCAATGCTCACTCCTTTAGCACCAAAAGGGAAGCTTGTTTTAGAACTAAAGCTGGATTTTACCTGTTACAGGGAAGAAAGATCTTCACATCTTCAATCTGTGGATCAAAGATGAACTTTGATCAGTTCATCACCCTTGAACAGTGAAATTGAAATGAAGACTGAAATATTAAAGATTAACTCAGGGTGTGGCTCTGTCTGAAGATCACACATCATTTTGCTGTGTGACTGATGTTTTGCTGTCAGGTTACACAGAGAATGAGGCATGTTTTCCCTGGGACTTGAGAGACCTCAGTTAGAGAAATCAGCATGAAATGGGGGCAGTTTTGTCTTTGGAGAAAGCCATGTCCTTGGAGTTAAGTGCTCTTGGATTTTCACTTGACTTGCCTCTTCGTATCTCACTTCTCACAGCTTTTTGTTCCTTGAAATACTGCACCAGAAGTATTTCTATCCACCCTCATAATTAGATGGTATTGGGAAGGTTTTTTTGATATGGGAAATAGAGACATTAAAAGGGAATTCTCTCTGTGAAGGAGTGAAGAAAGCAAGAAAAAAAGAAGGTCTTACCTATGGTGGAGGAGAACCAGGTTAAGGAGCCTTAATCCAATTGGACATATGTAAGTCCATAGGTTGCCCACACAGACGTTGCGGGAGCTGGCTGATGTCATTGCAAGGTCACTTTTGATTGTCTTTGAAAGGCTGCGGTGAGAGGGCGAGGTTCTTAAAGAGCGGAAGAGAGCAAATGCCACTCCTAACTTCAAGAAGGGCAAGAGGAAGATCCAGTCCAGGTAACTACAGACCAGGCAGCCTCACCGCAGTGCCTGGGAAGGTGATGGAGAACATCCTCCTGGAAACCACTTCCACATGCATGAAGGACAAGAAGGTGATTGGGAACAGTCAGGATGGATTTACAAAGGGCAAAACATACGTGACCAATCTGATAGCCTTCTTCAATGAGGTGATGAGCTTGGTGGGTGGTGGGAGAGCAGTGGATGTTGTTTATCTCCATCTTTTGACTATGTCTCACTTAGATATGTGGACAGGGAGGTGGATGGCTCAGTGAGGTGGAAACTGTCTGAACCACCAGGTTTTGGTAATGCAAGAGGGGAGCAGAAGGTTTCAGGGGTGAGAGGAGACCAGGGACTGCCCTGTGTCAGACAACTATGTCCAGATGGCCCTGTAATGGACCAATGGACCAACCAGAGGCCAAGGCTGAGCACACCAGGGACGCTGGTGGCACCTGTGTCAAAGCTTATTTAAGAAAGTGCAAAACCACTATCAGGCACTGAGGAGTGAAAGTAAAAAGCATGAGAAAGAAAGGTGTGAACACCAAGGTCAGAGAAAAAACAAAGGGGAAGAGGTGGTCCAGGCACTGGAGATGATATGAATCTGCAATGTGTGGAGAGGATCATTGTGGATCAAGTATTTCCCTGCAGCTTTTGGAGACCACCAAGCCCAAGAAGAAACCCACATGGAAGCCCGTGGAAGACCACATGTTGGAGCAGTTGGATATTTCCTGAAGGAACTGTGGCATCTGGAAGAGCTCACCCTGGAGCAGATATATCCAGAACACTGCAGCCCATGAAGGGGACCCGTATGGCAGCAAAGGAAAAGTGTTAGGAGAAAAAAGCAGCTGAGAACTGTTAAGGTCTGACCACAACCCCCAATTCCCTTACCCAGATGCCACTAAGTGGGGGAGACTGGGGTAAGTCTTGAGGGTGACAGATGAAGCTGAGCCTGCGAAAGGCAGTGATGAAGGGAAGATATTTTTTTATTTTATTTTGTCATTGTTTCCTGACACCCAAATCTATTATTACTGGCAATAAATGAAATTAATTTTTCCCAAGTTCTGTCTGTTTTGTACATCATAGCAATTGTTTAGTGATCTCCATGTCTTTGTCTTAACCCCTGAGCTGTACCATTTCCCCCCTGACTCATTGAGGAGGGGAAGTGAGAGCAACTGTGTGGGCATCTGGCAGCTGGGCAAGTTCAACCCACCCCCAATACAAAACGGGAAGGTGTGACTGGTACATGGGATGGGTCCTACTGCCATCCAGAAGGACCTTGACAGGCTGGAGAAATGGGCTGACAGCCTCTTCCTTCCAATGGCCAGTGTCCGAGTAGGACTCTGAGTTCGTCTGCCTTTGATCCCCATTTGTGCATTCCCGACTCCAGAGCTGGAATCCAGTTCCTGTCGATCACTGAGTGTAGTCTGGGACATCCCCAGTGCCTGCTGGTGACGTGATCATCATCCTGGGAGCTTGATATGGTTTTGTATATATTGTATTTATTTCATTATTTCCCTTTTATTTTATATTAATATTTCATTAAAGTAGATTAGTTCCTTCTAAACTCAGAAATCTCTTTATATCTCTCTCTATCCTCTTCTTGGAGAGAGAGGTGGGGCAGAGCATCTGTTGTTTGTCTCGATGGCCAGTCTCACCCCAAATGACAGATGGATTCTATTACCAATAACACTTTCAGTTTTCATGAAACCACAGAACCAGGGAATTGTCAGAGTCGGAAGGGACCTCGAGAGATCATCTAATCCAACTCCCCTGCTAAAGCAGGAACGCCTGGAGCACATTACTCAGGACTCCATCCAGGTGGGTCTGGAAGATCTCTAGAGAAGGGAACTCCACACCCTCCCTGGGCAGCCTGTTCCAGGGCTCTGGCACCCTCACCCCAAAGAAGTTCTTCCTCATATTTGAATGGAACTTCCTATGTTACAGTTTGTGCACGTTGCCCCTTGTCCTATCGCTGGGAACCACTGAGAAGAGTCTGACACCATCACCTTTCAACCCACCCATTAGATACTTGTAAGTATTAATATGGTCTCCCCTCAGCCTTCTCTTCTCCAGGCTAAAGAGTCCCAGCTCTCTCAGCCTTTCCTCATCAGGCAGATGCTCCAATCCCTCCATCATCTTTGTGGCCCTACGCTGGACTCTCTCCAGCAGTTCCCTGTCTCTCTTGAACTGGGGAGCCCAGAACTGGATGCAGTATTCCAGTTGTGGCCTCACCAGGGCAGAGTAGAGGGGGAGAATGACCTCTCTGAGGTCACTCCCCAAGATTTTACTTGGGAAAAGTTTATTTTGCCTATGACGCTTATGCCAAAGTAAAACCATCAGGGCTAGGGGATGGAAATCTTTTGGGCTGTTTAGAAATGGAATGTTACTTGCATAAAAATCATGATTTTGTTGTTAGTTTTCCTGAATGTGTTGCAGGGATGTGTGGTTTTTAAACATTGGTGCAGGTGTGGGTGTTTTGCTGCTGCTTCTCAAATGCCATGGGCCACCCCACAGCCTGCAAAGGCACAAGTCGCTCCACCATTAGCTGCAAGGCCAAGTGCTACAGGAAATTCTACAAGCATGGCCAGGTGATAAATGGAGAGAGATTTGGAGGCCACACCTGGCATTGAATCAACAGTTGTGTGCTGCCAAGTTCACATGGGATAGTGAGACTTTGGAGAGGCATTAGGGGACAGCTCCCCATCTTTGCAGGAGAGTGCAGGTTCCGCTCTTCCTGCCCTATCCGGAGAGGCCAGGCTCTCCTTCCAGGTTGTCAAGAGGAGAGGAAGGAACTATCTCCAAGGAGCCTGTAGCTCCAGGAAGGACAGAGCCCAGGAGGATGGTGAGAATGATTGGTAGATGGCAGGAGACTCTGCCTGGGGAAACATTGCCTTAAAACATTGCAGGGGCGGGGAGCAGAGCGAAGCCCCTGCAATTCAAAGGGAGATGGTGAGGGACCTGCTCCAACACCTAGATGCAAACAAGTCTATGGGACCAGATGAGATCCACCTGAGGGTGCTGAGGGAACTGGCAGAAGTGCTTGCGGAGCCACTCTCCATCATTTACCAGCAGTCCTGGGAAACTGGGGAGGTCCCGGCCGACTGGCGTCTGGCAAATGTGACGCCCATCCACAAGAAGGGCCGTAAGGATGATCCAGAGAACTACAGGCCTGTCAGCCTGACCTCGGTGCCTGGTAAGATCATGGAGCAGATCATCCTGAGTGCCATCATGCAACACATGAGGGACACCCATGCGATCTGGCCCAGCCAGCACGGGTTCACAAGGGGCAGGTCCTGCTTGACAAACCTGATCTCCTTCTATGACAAAGTGACCCGCTTGCTGGATGAAGGAAAGGCTGTGGATGTTGTTTATCTGGACTTCAGCAAAGCCTTTGATACAGTCTCCCACAGTATCCTCCTGGAGAAACTGTCTGCCCATGGCTTGGATGGGAATACCCTCTGCTGGGTTAAAAACTGGCTGGAGGGTCAGCATCCTAACGCAGGAGATGCTGCGGGGAGGACCGGAGGAGGCTCAGCCTCACGCCCTGGACCTGTTATATCCTGAAGGAGGAAGGAAACCTGTGCCTCCGAGAGCTTGTGTGCCCCTGGCTTTGATAACACTTGCTGATGGAGATCCACCCTGGGTGGTACACATTTGGATTCTAAAGAGCTAAAGAGCTAAAGTGCCTGACTCAGACCCAACTTCCTTGAGAATGAAAAATAAAAAATAAATAAGAATTTACAAAAAATCTTAGTAAGGCTGTCTGCCTGCTGCTTTGGTTAAGCTGGTGGGGTATCCTGATCGTGGCAGCATCAAGCACAGCATTTAGCTACGCAGGCTGCAGGTAACAATACCCCCCCAGCCAGTGATTTTTCTTTGCTGCAGGTCAGAGCATCCTGGTGCCAGGACCGGTATAAACCCGGGGTGATGGGGCTCCTGGAAGTGGTGAATGGTGGTGATGTAAAGGAAGGGCAGCGCGAGGCAGGGGT